AAATGGATCTGGCCAAGAGAGAAGCTCCCCAGATGCTGACATTTGACACATGCTTCCACAAAATGCCTGGGACCAAACACTGACCCCCTTAATGAGCACTATCAGTCAACAAGCTCTGCTTTTTCACAGATCATCCAATCATTTTTAAAGTGCTTTATTCTCAAATATGAATGAACAGCAGTATGATGAGGAAATCTTCTAACATGAAGGATGAAGACTAAAACTATCAAAAAGAAAAAAAGGAACATGGTCCGACTGGTGTAGCTCAGTGGTTGAGCATCAGCCCATGCACCAAGAGGTTACCAGTTTGATTCCCGGTCAGGGCACATGCCCAGGTTGTGGGCCAGATCCCCAATGGGGAGCATGCAGGAGGTGGCCAATCGATGTTTTTTTCTCATCGACGTTTCTATCTCTCTCTGCCTCTCCGTTCCTCTCTCTCTAAAAATAAAAAAAAAAATAAAAAAAGGAACATGTAGGTTAGAGACACAGTACAGGACTAACAGAAGAAAAGTTAAAATTCCTTAGGAAGAGAAAAGATAATGAATCTGTGACATGATAATAGGATATTACTAAAAAAATATTTAGAGAATAAGAAACACATTAGAAAACACTGGTGGCAGAAACAGAAAATTCAATAGAAAGATCGGCATATAAGGTGGACAAAATTTCACGGAAAGTAGAATACCATGCCAACGAGATGGAAACTCTTAGAAGTCCAACATCTACTTAATAGGAGTTCCAGAAAGAGAGAACAGAGAAAATGGAAAGGAAGAATTATCAAAGCTATAGGCTAAGGAAATTTTCCAATGGAAGCGCAGATAGCAGACTGAAAGGCTACACACAAAGTGCCTAATTAATGGAAAAAGACCAACTTAGGTCAAATCTTCAAGATATGTCAGAAAATATGGGTAAAAGGAGCCAAAAACTTCCAGGGAGAAAATACAAAGGAATCAAAATGCCATTGGTTTTCTCAACAGAAACTCTGGAAACTAGAAGACAATATAGTGATGTGTTCAAAATTATGAAGGAAAATGATACCCAACCTAGAGATCTATGCCCCACAAAACTATTAAGTGCAGAGATAAATTAAAAACATTTTCTAACCTGCAAACTCTCTAAAAATGTGTAACCTTATCTTCAGAATATACTGAAGATGTACTCCACTAAAATGGGGGGGGGGGTGCCAAGAACGAGGACAATGTGGGATTCAGGAAACAAGGGGTCAGCATAGGAAATGATTCCAAGGATGTTAGGGAAGACCACAGAGCAATAAACCTTAAAATCAATCCAAACTAGAGCAGGCTCTAGGAAAGATGTCTCCAAGAAAAAGGAAATAGAATTAATAGATTACCTGACATGATCAATATTGAGAGGAGGAAAGTTTGAGAGTAAATTTATGACTGGTATATAGAAAAATAAGCCAATGATAAGGGAAAAAGAAGTTCAGGTTTTATTTTATTATTATTTATTCTTTTTATCCTCACCCGAGGACATTTTTGCGTTTATCTTCAGATAGAGCAGGAGGGAGAGAGGGAGGAAGAGAGAGAGAGAAACATCAATGTGAGAGAGACACATTGACTAGTTGCCACCCACACAACCCCAACCAGGGCTGGGGACAAACTGCAATGGAGGTATGAACCCTTAGCGGGAACTGAACCCAGGTCTCTCTGGACCACAGCTTGACGCTCTAACCGCTGAGCCAAACCGGCCAGGGCAAAAGTGCAAGTTTTAACTGTGGAGAAAATAGTGTGTAACAAGAAAAAGTTGTTTAAAAAAGGGGAAATTCAATTATAGTACACTGCATGGCTTAGCTGTGAACAATATTTGAATGGTCATCAAACACTGTAAACATTTAATGTTTATTCAATAAACACCATGATATATAGTGGGAGTTTAGGAATAAGAAAACTATGTGTAGTTAGTGTGAGAGAGCTAAATTTTCTTCTCCTGTATTAGGAACTCAGCAAAGGATGTCTAAAATTGGAAAAATCAAGAAGTAGAATAGCAGATAAAGACATCTAAAAAATAAAAACGAACATCTATATTAGCAGAAACAGTTAAAAGAGTTCGAAGTTCTGGGAAGGGTTTTGGGAGTGAAAAGGGTAGGTTGCTGTCTTTTGCTATAATCCTCACATAACTAAAGTATTTAACTTTTAAAACTGTGTACATGTATTATTTTTATTTTACAGGGTGAACTGCATATGCTCCAGAAATATTTGCATTGAAGGCAAATGGCCATTTTGCAATATCCTATTATTTCAACACATACAAATAGTTTATTTCACATCATAACTAATCCACTTCTTAGAAAACATTAAGTAAGATTTAACATTTAGAATAAATTTCACTGTGACATTTAAAATGAATCTCCGTTTTGTTAGCATCATCATATTTCCCTCTATTATTAAGGGCAAGTGAGTCACCAAAATTAGATATTTTAGGCTAGCTCAGAGCTTCGGGAAGATTTTGCCTCCTGCCCTCCCCACAAAGGATTTGGCAAAGTCATTACTGGGGCTGGTGGGCAGATACTGGCATCTGATAGGTAGAAGCCAAGAATGCTGCTAACCATCCTACAATGGACAAGACAACTACCCAAACAAAGAATTATCTAGTCCCAAATGTCAATAGTGACGTGGTTGAGAAACCAAGCTCTGAGTCTCTGAAGATTATTTCATCAGAAGCTATACATAAAGATTGATGATATACAAACATTTTGCAATTTAGGACTGACTCAGCTAAATATCTTGATGCAATGTTGGAAACAGTCTGGCTGTGAAATATATGTTTGGGAATATTGAGAATGGTAAAGTAAAGACAAAGGTATAATAAGTGATAACAATAATAATATATAATGCTTTGTACCTCAATAATCTCTTTCATCCATGGTTCCTAGGGCACTTTATGGACTAGTAATAACTACTTTGGTACTCACATATTACCTTTTATCTAAGGATCTCAGGCACTTTCACAACACTCTCATAGTGTAGGAAGTATTATTATCCCCATTTTATATGTAAATAAACAGAAGCACAAAAGTTAAGCAACTTAAAACCACACAAGTCAGTAACAGCCCAACTTTCCTGATGCAGAGCCTATTAATGTTAAGAGAACTGGTCTAAGAGATACAGTGACAAATTTATGTGGCATAAGTATTACCCTAGTTTATTCAGCCTGTTGTTTTCAAGTTCATATTTCATATTCAGTACCTTACCTTTTGTGCCTAACTCCCCTCAACCCCCAACATCTTAGAGACTCAGGACTCTACCTGATATCCTATTAATAAAAGGGACTATATTTACTGAATGCCTTCCTTGAACCAAGCACACTTGAAACACCCTGTCAATTTTTATAACGGCTTAAAACATATATGCTGTTATGGCTGATTTTTATAGTGAAGAAAGCTGAGTTTCAGAGAATTTAAACAACATGCCTTAGACCTCTCAGCTACTTATGTTTGTTTCCAGGCAGACTATAACCTTCTTTCCACTGTACCCTGAAGGCCCTCAAAGCATATTAGTGTGAATCAGTTTAATGCCCAACCCTCCTTCTCCCCTCCTAAAACTCAGAAAACAAACAAATGAATCTGTAAGTGAGGAATTTCAGGGGATGCACCCAGGTTGGTACCAGCTGGGCTCAGCCTTTTAAACCAATTCCCAAGGCAGGCCTTTAATTTTCTAAGGATTTTTCCAGAGCTCCCTCCTGGTTACCTATATGTTCATCCCAACCACCAGACCAAAGACCAGAACGGTGTGCTTCTCTTTGAGAAATAAATAGCAAGTGAATCACTATCTTCTGTTCTCATTCCTGTCGCAGGCACACACTAGCTTCCCACCCACCATGTGTCACCTGGGCAAAATAGGAATACTAAGTAGGAAGAAAGAAAGAGATGGATGTTAGGTAAGAGTGTGACTCAAGGTTCGCCTACTTTTCACAAAATGGTGACCTGATACTTGTACCCTACTACCGTGATGTGCCCTGGCATTACTTGGATTAAGTGAGCTCAGTCTCCTCAGGTCCCTGTCAGAGGCAGCCCACCCAGACCTGATCCAGAAATCTTAGATGACTTGCATCTGAGGATAGGATTTACCCTAGGGCGCGTTAGGGATGGAAAAATAGAGACAAATCACCGCCCCAGATCCTATCAAACAAGCATCATTGCAGCTTTTAGTACGTTGGCAGGGAGCTTTTGCTGCTAAATTCGCTATCTGCAAAGAGGAGGTGTAGAGACAGGGTTAGGAAGAAAACTCCAAATAGGATTGAGATAGCCAATACAACGCACTGTCGAAATGTTTTTAATGTTCTCCTGTAAGCCTAAGATAATAGTAAACTCTTGATAATGCAGTGTCAACTTAAGCCCCTTCTTTTAGGTGCCCCTTTCACCAGACCACAAACTTTTCTTACAAGGGGGCTGCTGGGTTCCTTTCAGTTCTTTCCATTCTCTACCTGCCATCCTAGCACCTCTGAAAAGGGGCAGCGAGGAGGAACAGGGACGCGAGCGTTTTCCCATCCTGGCTAGTCAGCCCTGAATCATCCCCTGCTGACTGCACTTTCCCCTCCGCCAGCTGCACTCGAGACTTTCCCTCGAAGAATCTGTCTTGTACTTAAAAGGAAGAGTGGTGGGAAAAGGGAGAGGCGGAGAAGAGGAGCGGGGTGAAGGGCGTGGAGAGTCGTTCCCGCTGCGGGTCGGAGGCGCCGAGGCCGGACGCCGGGAGGCTGCGAGCCCAGGAATGTGCCGACCGGCCGGCGGGCTGGCCGCGGCGTCGCGCACCTGAGCGCCGGGGGCGGGGCGGCGGCGGGCAGGACCCCACCCCCAACCGCGCGCCGCGCCCCTCCGCGCCGTCTCGGCCCTTTCCGCCTGCGCTTCGGCGTCGCTCGGCTCCCCTCCCGCCCCTCGCTCCCCGGTTCCCTCCCTTCTTCCCCGCTTTCTTCTCTCCCTCCTAAGCTGAGTAGAGCCCGGAGCTCCCGACGGTGAATTGGCCGCGGCTCCTTTTGCGCGGCCGCTTGGGCTCACCTGGGAGCCCGGTCCCAGCCCGGCGCCGCGCCCCCCAAACTTCTCGCAGGTAAGGGGCTGCCCGGGCCGCCCGCGCTCCACGCGCGCACCGGTCCCTTCCCGACTCGGCGGGACAGCCGGCGTCTGCGCGTCTCCCTGCCGCTGCGAGCCGGCTCGGGGCTCCGCTCCGTGCCCGGGGAGTGGGAGTGACGGTAGCGGGGACCCGGGACCGGCAGTGGCCGGAGCGAGGGGCAGGAGATGCGACAGGCCGACAGGTGGCGGGATCTGGCCCTGGTTCCCCGACTGCCGCAGGCGCGGACCCCGGTGAGGATGGGGCGGGGGCGGGGGGTGGGGATAGTCCCTTTCTCCTCCCCTCGGGGGGCGGCGATCGCCGGGCCCGCCGTGTAGGTGCGTCGGGGAAACCTTGCAGGTTGGGGACTCGGCGGCCGCTCGCCGGCGGGGACGAGTGGGCGCGATCCGGGTTGGGGGTCCGAGGGGCGCGGCCGCGGGGCAGACCCTCGGGCCGCGCGAGGACATTACGCTTCCCTTCCCGTCCCGTTTGTTTCCCCCTAGACCGCGGGCGGCTGGGGGAGCCGCTGTCGCCCCGCGCCCGCAGGTCGTTCGCTCGTGTCCTCGGGGCCGCGGGAAGGAAGAGGCGGCCTGAGGTGAGGGCCCGGCCGGCCCCGCTGGGAATATGGCGACCGGTGGCTACCGGACCGGCAGCGGCGGCGGCGGCAGCACCACCGACTTCCTGGAGGAGTGGAAGGCGAAGCGCGAGAAGCTGCGCGCCAAGCAGAACCCCCCGGGCCCGGCCGCCCCGGGCGGGGGCAGTAGCGACGCGGCCGGAAAGCCCCCGCCGGGGGCTCTGGGCACCTCGGCGGCTGCCGCGGCCAACGAGCTCAACAACAACCTCCCGGGCGGCGCGGCCGCACCTGCTGCTCCCGGGGGCGTGAACTGCGCGGTGGGCCCCGCGGCGCTGGTCCGGGCGGCCCCCGCCCCGCGGCGGCCGGAGGACGAGCCCCCCGCCGGCGCTGCCGCCGCCGCCCCCGGGGCACCGCCAGCCCGGGGCGACGAGGAGGAGCGGGACAGCGCCCCGGAGAAGGGCAAGAGCTCGGGCCCCAGTGCCAGGAAAGGCAAGGGGCAGATCGAGAAGAGGAAACTGCGGGAGAAGCGGCGCTCCACCGGCGTGGTCAACATCCCGGCGGCCGAGGTGAGCCGGGCGGGCGGGGGCTGGCCTCCAGTCCACTGGGTCTCCCTCCGGGGAGCTCGCGGGTCTCCCTGGCCCAGAGGTTTCCCTCTGTAGCTCCTGCTGCTTATCCTTTCAGGCAGGCAGAGGGTGATGGAGTTTTCTGAACAAATGCTTCCTGGGAAGTTCCCCAAACCCAAAGCAGGACACGTGCTTTTCAGGCTTCCTGGCTAAGGTCTCAGACCCAGGACACATTTTTTACAGGGCTGGAAAGACAACTCTTGGCTCCAGAACTTGCTCACTCAGACTTGTTTTTTTATGCTTGGTCAGTTAGAAAAATTGATTAATGGTGATGACGACATACTCTATTTAGTTTCCTACGTGTCCGGCTCAAGTTATCAGATTGTTTATCTCTTCTTAACAGTGTTTAATAGCACCTGTACAGGAGAAGTGGTCTTAGCACTATCCGAGACAGCTTTATCTTTCAATGAACCCAAGATGAGTATATCCAAATGAATAGATGCCCTATTTCATGTATAAACCAGCTTTTGGAAGTGGTTCTTCCCAACACACACACACACACACACACACACACACACACACACACACATTTTTTCTGAGTGATATTTTGGACAATAGGAACGCTGTAACAACTCACAATTTTTTTCTGAGACAGTCTTTCCTAGTATTTAAATATTTGGCTCTGTGTATTCTGGAAGACATTTGTGGTAGGGCTGGTTTTCTTTCCCTTTTTTTTTTAAAGCAGTCTCAAAACATTTCTTCAGGCAGTAATAGCATCTTCCTATTAGAATGACTGGTGAAACATTTTTGCTTAGTGTATAACTGCTCCACTTTACCTGCAACAAAACAAAACACTCCTAAACAAGCTTCGGTTACTTTAACAGTAGCTCGCTGGTTTTGGGAAGTGATTCAACAACCTTGTTTCACCCAAAGTTGTTGCATTTTTTTTCTCATTGGCTCTTTATATTTTACTTTTTTATTTTACTCCTGGTCTTCAGTTTATTCGACTTTGACAATATTAAAATAATAAGAATTTACTAACTTTAAATGTGGTTAAAAGCATTGCCGATAAACTAGGGTGTATATCAAATATACTCAAATTTTTAAGTCTTAATATGAGTTTCTTTCTTTAATTTTAATTTTCTTATATTAATTTAGAGAGATAGAAACATCTATGAGAGAGAAAAGAGAGAACATCGATCAGCTGCCTCCTTCCCTCCCCACTGGGGACTCTAGCACAACCTGGGCAAGTGCCCTGACCATAATGGAACTGGCGACCTCTTGGTGCATGGGTCTATGCTCAACCAGAGTCACACTGGCGGGGCAGTCTTAATATGATTTTTGTACCTGGAACATCAGTTTGTTTTTAAAGGGTATATTTTTAAGAGTGTTTCGGAGAGATTTTTATCAGCCAGCAAAACTGTCCACTGTGGCTTGCTACTTGCACAAAAGATCTGTTATTCATTAAATTGCTTTAGAAGTAATTCATAAGAGTGGTAATCAAATTTCTAGGGGTTTGTTGTTGTTTGTTTAGTTAAAAATATGAAGATTAAGAGGAAACTGAAGACAAGGCTTTGGAAAAACTACATTCCTCAACTTTATTTTTAAAAGTAGTTGTTGGCCCAAATAAAAGAATTTGCCATATTCAATCTTTTCCTCATTATTCATTTGACAGGGGTCTTATTTGGAAAATACATTGGCAGATGTTAAACTTCATTATTTGTCTGGCTGCCTGTGCTAAAATTGTTATTTCTCAAATACCTTTTTGTTTTTGTTTTTCTTAACAAGGGTAATGTTTACTGAGGAAAATAAGTATGGTGTATCTTGTGAGTTCCTGAGAAACATTCTTTGTTAATACTTCTGCTTTGGGTAAGGAACATAGTGCTGAGAATGTAGATGACTCCCCACTACAATTGAGTCTAATACTCTGGAATGTTTTTCATTTGGGTGTTGGCAACTCCTAAATTTAATCTTCCTTAAAAACAAACAACCCAGGATACCATTTTTTGGTCTGTGGAATTTGAACCTTTTTTATTGAATAGGGAATTGAAGACTGCTTTCTTTTTGTGGTTACTATGGCTCTGTTTCATGCTGTAGGACCCAACAAAACATGGTAATGTTTTACCATAGTATCTAATTAGCAGGCATGCTTCTTGACTGCCTCCTCCCCATATTTTCAGTTTTTTAAAAAAGAACTTAAGTCTTTCAGATTATTTTAGTAGTGGTAAAATGTATGACTCAAAACTTTAAAGGTGAACCATTTTCATATCTTTCAGTTGTTGCTTTTTTAGAATTGTGTGCTATTTATTTCTGTTAGTAGTTTCAACTTTGAGAATGCCAGTTGCTGTGGAGCATCTTGTATAATACTACTTAGCACTCCATTTTACAAAGCCATATAATATTTTACAAAATTTTCAGGTATGAAGATATTATGAAAGCAGAAAACCACCAATCTATCAATATTCAAAAGTAGACTTGTATTATATATAATGTTGAGTAAGACTTATTTTTAGACCCTATTCCCATCCAAGTTTATATTAGATTAGCATGTAATTTGTATGCAAAGAGCCTATTTTAGTGATTGATAAACAGTAAGTTCCTTCAAGAAGTGTTTATTAAACATGCATGTGACACATTCATTATGCCTTTTATTAACTTATTTTACTAATTACCAAGTACTATAAAATGGTTGCAAAGGTACCTGACAGCAGCTAAAGATACAGAAAGCAAGTAGAAGCTAGTTTTAGGAAGGAAGCAAGTAAAAAACTAAAAGTAATGGATTAGGGTAAAATACTGGGTGGAGACTGCACCCGATGACTGTAATAAAAAGTGCAAATATACAGATGCTTATTAGTGAGATAAATTTTAATTCTTCTTTGCAAAGTTAGAGATTTTTTTTAAAGCTTTTTTCTAAATTTAAGTTCTTTATTTTTTTGGCAGAGGAATTGGATATTGGATGTGACGTGCTTCCTGCCAATACTTATTATATGTGTTCATTAGATCAGTCAAATGTTTACTACGTTTGTGTTCAAGGTACTATGGAGAAAAGAAGAATGTGGAGGAAGACTATAATCTGGGGAAGAAGGCTAAGGCATAGTTACATGAAAAAACTTAAGAACTGATTTAGTCTTAAAGCCTTCTTAATAGCTTGTAGCTAATTGTTTATTAGAAATATTGTGTGTTTAAAGGGAAGACTCGATGGGGCTGTGAGAGGCTATTGAAGACGAGGGTCTTGAGCTAAGGCTTATGTTTCTACACCTATATATTCACACATACATGTATACATACCTGTTTGTATAGTATTTTAAATGTCAGAGTGCAGTGGTTCTTAACTATGGCAGCACATTAATATCATGTGAGGGTCTTAAAAGAATATTCCCCCATGCTGATGACTCTTGCCCTCTTTTTCCCTGACCCCTTATGATTTAGTGGATTTGGGATGGATCCCAGGCAATAATATTTTGATAAGCTCTCCATGTGATTCTAATATGAGGGGTTAAAAACGACTGGGCTGCAGTCTGTGGTACAGAACTGAATACGACACAGGCCTTGCCCACAGGGGACTCTCAAGTAATAAAGGCAATTGTGGTAAGTACAGCCTCTTTCCTGAGCAGGGTACATAACTCACGGAGGAGGGGGATAGCTGAGGAAGGCGTCCTAGATAGTTATATACCGGTTTTCAGAGTGCTTGTAAAGTTACTGCCCTTGAGGAGGTGTGCACGGATGGGTCAACAGAGATGGTTACCATGGAAAATAAGCTCTTTTAATAAGTAGAACTCAAATGATAATGAGGTTTTGATTTAAATAGAAAAGTCAACATATATCAAAACTTATTTATGTCATAGTGATTGGCTAAAATACTTTATGTATTGTATCAGTGCTCACAGCATCCCATGTGGTAGTTTTATCTGTCTTTTTATCCCCATTTCCAGAGGAGAAAGTAGAGGCTTAGAGAGTTTAAAATGACTCAAGATCACCTGAAAAGTGAATAAGTGATAGATTAATATTAAAAAAAATTTTTTGGTGTATGTGTGGTTGTGTGTGTGTCTGTCTAGGGAAGGGGGATTTTAAATAATTAACCTACCTTTCACTATTTAGCTTATTTTCCTAGACTTTTAAAAAAATCCTTACCCTAGGATATTTTTCTATTTATCTTCAGATAGAGTGGGAGGTAGGGGGAGAGAGAGAGAGAGGGAGAGAGAAACATCGATGGATGTGAGAGAGACACATCCATTGGTTGCCTCCCTCACGACCCTGACCAGGGCAGGGGACCGAACTGCAACCCAGGTACAAGCTCTTGACTGGACTCCAGCCCGCGACTCTTTGATCTGCAGGCCGATGTTCTAACTGCTGAGCAAAACCGGCCACAGCTAGACTTTTTTTTCCCAGTAACTTTTTATTAGAGGTTATCTTAAATAATTTAAACATCTAATGGAGAAAACAGTGAAAGTATGGAATTAACTAGAACTTAAGGTCAAATTGGTAGGCTCAGAGATTGCTTCTGACCTTCTGTAGTTTGCTTGACAAAATTTTGCATACCGGGCCATCAGCAAAATATAAATCTGTTTTTGGCTAGCAGTCAGATGTGGATCTTTGATTTTACTTAAGTGATATGTTGTTTTTCTGTCAAGGTGGGATTTTCACACCTACTCCAGAGTTTGAAGGAGCATTTAATATATAGAAAGCATTAAAAAAATTTTTTTTTCTTTATTGATTTTTAAAGAGAGAGGAAGGGATAGGGAGAGAGAGATAGAAACATCCATGAGAGAACATTAATTGGCCGCCTCCTGCATGCTCCCCACTGGAGATTTGGCCCACAACCCGGGCATGTGTCCTGACCAGGAATCGAACCGGTGACCTCTTAGTGCATAGATTAATGTTCAACCACTTAGCCACACCGGCCAGACTATAGAGAGCATTTTTAAGTGAACAGAATTTAAGTCAAAATTATTCAGCATATTTGTTAAACATTATATAGGACAGGTTCCACTTTGTAAACCTTA